TCTTTGCTTTTCTGATAGTCTATACCTTAAATTATAATAGCAATATTTCAATACTCACATAAAGTCTGTACATCTATGTTACATGATGAAGAACTAAAAGGAGAGATATTTGCTTTGTGTTTGTTTGTGTATATTGTACAAATTCTTAACAGAATAGGGGGTTTCTGTAACTGGTCATGTCCTAGTCTAGTAGCTGGCATTAATGAGTACCCTCTGCTGCTTGCTCTGTGTTTGTTTGGTCTTCAAACAAATACCCCAGCTTGTTGTGACATGTGACTGGAAGGTTGATGTATTTCAAATAGGATAGTGAATATGTACTGCTGGCCTTGCCAGCTGAAGTAAACTTTCCGGTTTATTTTATGGATAGGCATGGAGAATAAGGTGTTTGCCAAATTAGTAGCTCCTATTCAGGTGCCAGGTATATTAATTTGCTCAAGCAGTGCATCTGCATGGCAGCTGCAGTTAGAATCACTATTTGGTTAAGTTTACAATAATGATTATTATTTCTCAAGATTCTTTTCAGGCAGACCCTAAAGAAAGCAATTTCTATGTGGAGATCCTCTTTAAAATTGAGACAAGAGTCTCTGACCCCTTGCTGGCCTGGAACTCACTGTGTTCTTGGTTGGCCTTGAATTTGGCTCTTACCTTTGTCGTCTTTGTGTCAGGGTTACAGATATTCACCACCATGCCTGGCATCCTTTTCTTTCCTTAGTCTCTTCCGTTTCTTTCCCCTCCCTTCCTCCCTTCCTCCTTCCCTCCCTCCCTCCCCCTCCCTCTTCCCCCTTTTTTTCTTTTTATCCAAGACAGGGTTTCTCTGTGTAATACCCCCTAGGCTGTCCTGGAAGTTGCTCTGTAGACCTCAGAAAGATCTGCCTGTCCCTGCCTCCCGAGCTGAGATTAAAGTTGTGTGCCACCAATGCCCAGCCCCATTTCTTATTTTTAAAATGGGTCAGTGTTTGAAGTTTTATTTAAATAGCAGCCTTAACTGTATTTTCCTGAAGGCTCTTGTGGTAAGCAATTGAAAAGCCACTGGACTGGACAGAGGATCTCTAAGATGTTCAGGTTTATGGTGATAAGTGTTTTCAATAACTGTAAGTATGTCTGTTGAGAGGATTCTTAATACAGAGAAGATGTTTGAAATGAGAGTCGAGTGGATGTTTAGGAGACAGACTGGGTGGTAGGATCGAGGAGGGTGAACAAATTGGAGTAGGGATGAATAATTCCCCAAGTTCCAGGAGGTTGGAGTAAGTCTGGACTGTGTATGTGTGCATATGAACTTGTATGCTTATGTGCATGGTTGGTATGTATGTATGGAGGAAAGAGAGGAAATATGTAAACAGAGAGATGGAGTGAGAAAGTGGGGCTGAAAAAAGAAAAGTTGAATGTACATGTAAAAAACTTAATACCTTGATAAATAATGTGGCTTTTTTTTAATGGATGGGGTAATTGGGTCGTTGTATCTAAATACTTGCCATAAACAACTGAAGGAAGGAAAGGTTTCTTTTGGCCCATGATTTCAGAAGATTCACTTCATGGTTGCTTGGCTCCATGTGCCATGGGCACACATGACAGCAGGAGTGTTGGGCGGAGGCTGCTCTTGGCTTCTTGGCAAACCGGAAGCGGAGAAAGGGGAACACAGGAAGAAGCCAGCTGAAACATGGCCACAAGGACAGCGCAGATAGTGACCTACTTCCTCCAGCTAGGCCCCATCCCCTCTTGCCTTTTTCCACCTTTTACTAATGCCACTGTATTGTGAATACACAAAGAGAGAGTTCCGTTTATTATACCATAATCCTCTGATCTGTTTCTGGAAAACCATTGTATTTCACTAACCCCTGAGGTATTGCATGCTAATCAAGTTGACAGTCAACATTCGCATTGCCTAAAGCTTTCTGTTAGCTATCTATAATTTGAAGTTCTCCTGCCTCAGCCTCCAGGATTAGGGTTACAGCGGAGCACTGGGTAGCCTGGGCTTTTGTTTTGCTCCTTGCATTCATAGTTGTTCCTCTCTTTCCCCTTTATGAACCAAGGTTATTGTCATTGGTATAGAGTTGTTTTCCAGCAAGACTGTAGTTGGTAGTAGAGAAAGGACAGGGAGGGTGTGGGTGTACGTATATTTTTTACCATGGTGCTAGGAACTCAGAACTTCACTGAGGCATGCCAGGGCATCAATCTACTATTGAGCTATATCCATAATCCTTTTAAATGAAATTATTATCTTACTGTTAAATAAAAATGATTTCAGTGGTCAGAAGCAGGCAGGAAGACCTCATGTTCTACATAATGAGTTCCCAAACATGGTGAATTCTTGTGTCAGAAAGAACTAAGGGCCTAGAGAGTAGTAGGCTTAGTGGTTAAGAGCATTCCTCACTATTGCAGAGGACCCAGGTTTGATTCCCAGCACCCACATGGTAGCTAACAACCATCTGTAACTACAAATCCCGAGGATCCAATGTACCCTCTTCTGACCATCTTGGGCACCAGGCACACTCATGGTGTATAGACATACATTCAGGCAAACTGCTTATATGAATAAAATAATATAAATCTTTTAAAAAATATCTGAGGCAGGAGGAATGCCAGGGGTTTGAGATTAGCCTGAACTACATACATAGTAATTTAAGTCTGCTTGCCTAGAGTGTAATTCTGACTCAAAAACTGAAAAGCTCTGACTGTAGGCGTTTATTACTGGATCACATGATACATATATGTTTAACTTATTATGAAACTGCCAGTGTCTTCTAAAGTAGCTATATCATTTTCCCTACCTACCAACAATGTATAAAGGTAGTAGTTGCTCATTTGGAAAATGCTTAGTTAGTAAAACGCTTGTTGTGCAAACATTAAGTTCTCAGTTTTATTCTCAGGGTCTAATATAGCTTATGCTGGTCTTAAACATGCTAACTAGCTGAGTTGGGCATTATGGGCACACATTACTGTGCCTGATTTTTACTATTTTGAAAACATACCAATCCTAACCTCAGAACAGTATATTACAATGTTCCTATGGGATATATATACACAATTTATTGACCTCCCAGGATGACTATGGCGTCAAACCTGAGTGTATGTGTATTGTGTTTCACACATGCTTGGTGTGTGATTTGCTATACTAGAGGTGTACCCTTAGCCCTAGGGATTTTTTTTTTTCAGTGTTGTGGATTTGGCATTGCACATAATTGGCAGGTATTCTACCACTGAGCCAGTATTCTACTGCTGAGCCACACTCTCAATCCTGCTTTTGTTGTTGTTTTTAAAGAAAGGGTTTTGCTATGTAACTAAGGCTGATCTGGAGCTTGTTTGTATGTAGCCTGGGCTTGACTGGGCCTTGCATTGCCCTGCCTCAGCCTAAGTAACTGGAATTACAGGTGTGTGCCATTGACCTCTGTTCCAAGGCCTTTCTATGTTCCTATGTGTGCTCACCTGCATGGATAGAGCTAAGGTCAGGATGTTATTCCTCAGGAGCCACCCATCTTTTTTTTTGAGATAGTGTAGATTAGGCTGGACTAGCTGGCCAGTGAGCTCCAGAGGTCTTCCTGTCTCCCCTTTTTGCTAGGCATTGAACAACATTTTTCATGTTAGGCAAGCACTTGACTACAGAGCTATATCCCAACTCAAGGCCCAGGTTTTCACCTGGGTGGTGGGCATCAAACTCAAGTTCTCAGGCTCATGAGGAAAGCTCCTTACTGCCTGGGCCATCTCCCCAGCCCTATGTTACAAGATGGGTATTTTTTTGTAAATTTTTTTGTCAGTTTAAAAAAATATCAGTGTTGCCATTTGTTTGATATCATCCTTTTATTTTTACTTTTTATAATTTTTATTTCTAATTACCTTTTAAAAATCAGAATAGGTTTATATGGATATTACCCAAAATATTTCAGCTGTGGAAATGAGTTGGGGGCTTCCCAGTAAAGTGAACTTCCATTGACTGTCAGAGAACCACATTCCTTGGTGAATGGGTTCTGAAAATTCATTGTGAATTAAGTCAGCTAAGTAGGACATTTGGCAGTCAAAACTGATTTATTCTTTTGCATAATTAAAATTAATTTATTAAGCCCTAGAGATTATTTTAGGGAAAAAAAAAGACCCTTCAGTGAAATAAATAGGCCATGTTAGTTAACTAATTTCTTCCAATACATTAAGATATGCTCTGCGAGGGGCCAGGGTAAACAGTTGTGGTAATGTTTTGGTGGCTTGAGCACCTTGTCAGATGGTGACCTGGTGGCCTGGAGGACGTTGCTTTATTTACCCCATTGGATTAGCCCGGGTACAGTGCAGGGTTGGAAAAGGGTGTCTGCCTGATACTTAGAAGGCGGGTAAAGCTGTGGCTCTGTCTTGGAAATGACAGAGTTGTGACCTTTTAAAATGTATTTTATCAACCTTTCAGTTCTACTTAAAATTATTGTGCTATGTTGGACTTTCTAACATGAATTTTTAAAAGTTATTTTAGTCACATTAATTGGCACTTATTTTTCTACTGAACTTTGGATTTTCTAGTGAATTTTTATCTATGTAGAGAAGTCTGCATCTGGTATTACAGTTTGCTAGCTTTGCTAGATTACATAGCCATATATCCCTTCATATGGGAGTTAATGAGTAGCTAAGTTAGACGCACCTTTTCAGTTGCTGTGGTAAGAGACACAGTTCGTTCCCTCTTAATCCTCTCTCGCCTTTTTCCTTTTATAGTAGTTGTATTTATTTGATGTGTTATCTTTCTTGTAGCTTGTCATTCTACTTTATACTTTTAATTTTAAAGTACAGCAATTACCATGTGACAGTTTAAACTAGGTAGATTTTGCTCCTTGGCTCTTGTCTGACTCCTGTCATATGCCTCTCCCCCCTCTTTTTTTTTTTTTTTTTTAACCTGTGCATTTGCATGTTTGACCTAGCAGAATAATTGGGTCCACAGCAACATGGGCGTGCCTCGCTTAGAAACACTTAGTTTCATGTGTGAGTCATAAGCTGAAGCAGACACCACTTCCCCAATCTACAGGAGCCATTTTAACAGCACAAAACTTGCCGGATTGCTTTTCAGTCTCAAGCCCAGAGGACGAAAGCCGAAGACAAAGTTTAAAGGTAACTTGTGATTTTGTTGTTTGCTTCTGGCTACTTTTGAGCTAATACAGGTTTGGAGGAGGTTCTTACCTGTGGTAGAACATGGCCGAACGTATTCTTTAACTCTGATAAATAAATGTGTGCAGTGAGTCACATGCCTGCACTAGAGGCAACAAAGCATTCAAAGTCCTAGCTCTTCCCCACAGCGTTTTCTATATTAATGCGCTTGGATTTCCCCTCCTCTAACTTTAGAATAAAGGAGACCCCCCCAAAGCAAGCCAGATCAAGTTTTAATCGAAATAAATCTAATTGTCTTTGTGGGGCTAGCTGAGAAGTGACTCCAGTAAACTGTATTGCTTAGGAGCTTCAGACATTGAAAAAGAAATCCAGGAACAGTGGCTTTATTACGATTTTTAATTAAGTATGAAATCTTGGGTCAATCTAGTCATAAGTGCTGCTCACAGAACATTCTATGCGTTGCTTCCTTTTTTTAAGTTAATGAATTACACTAAATATTTCATCTTGAAAACCAGAGAGAGGTGTAAAAGTTACATAGAGCGCTCTACAGTGAAGCAACATTTTGGTGTTAGAGCGTGTTTTCAGTGGAGAGGAAGACCGTCTGGACTGATTCATTCAGTGTTGGTGAGAAATGAAGCCTTATGCTCACATGAACTTGCTCTGGATAGCAACTTTAGAAGTGAAACTGCTTCTAAAGGAATTGTGTACTATTTCAGTTTTGTGTAGAGAATAGGAGTGTGTTGGTCTTCCTCTTACTACTAGTTTTAATTTTTTTTTAATTAAAAAAATGTAAACCTTTTGTTAACAGGAGGTGGCTCAGTCTTTTCCTGAATTCTTTGTTATCATTAAAACTATTATATTTGGCTGGCAAATATACTTTCACTGTGCAGCAATATTTTACTTTTGAAACATTCATGAAACTAACATTTTGTGTAAAAGTAAAATTTGAGTATGTAATGCTTAGGAAGAATTTTTGGAAATCAATTCACTGTCATTTATTACTGACCTAAATAGTTTCTAACTAGTTGGCTGAAGATTGGCTCTGGCTTTCTGAGTGCTTGAAGTCCAAGTAGATTTGAAAGGGAAGGCAAGAAGAGTGTTACTTCTTTCTCAGAAGAGTCTTGGTGTTAGCAGATCTCAGTATTATGGTCTTATAAGAAAGCCCAGACATTTTGACAGTTCAGCCGTGAGCCCTTCTCCATCACCTTTGTTTGCATATTGCAGGTTTGGTTGGCCTTTGACTAAGCAAAGGCTTTATTTGCTTCAAGTCTGGACTGAAAAAACAAAACAATAACAACAAAATCCCAATGACACTTTCTTACCTTTTTTTTTTTTTAAAGGCTAGTGATCCATAAGTGAAAAATCAAGAGGCAAATAAGCAAACTAAGAACATAGTTACTAAATAGAAGAATTTAATTTCTTAAAATTGAGATGGTGCTGCATTTAAAATAGTAGACATTGGCCATGTATATCAGTGTCTTTTCACGTTTGTTTTGAGATAGGGTCTTGCTCTGTTGCTAGTCTTGAACTCTGTTTGGCCTCGGCTTCCATGTGCTGGGGTTACAGGCATGTGCTACCATGCTCGGCTGTCACGTTCTTACTGTGATTCAAAGGCAGGGCTTAGGGGGAAAGGCAGACAGGGAGGTTTGGGGTGGGGACACAGGAAGACCGACTTAGCTATCCTGCTGTGGTTCTTTTTAAGATTGAAGGGAAGTTTAAATTGAATCATAGAGAATTAGAACTGTTGACTGGCGATAGTTCAGCTGCCACCTTTATGGCTTACTTAGATGCTGACACTGGTTCCAAGCTTTGAACTCACTGTGTAGTAAAGAAGGGAATAAACTTGAACTCTGACCTTCCTGCCTCTCTACCTCCTAAATGCTGGAATTACTGACATGGGCCACAGTGCTGGTTTTTGTTTGTTTGTTTGTTTGCCAGGTGTGATGATACATGTCGATTTTCAGTCAGGACTACTACATATAATGTCTTAAAAAAAAGTTTTTGCTTTGTTGTTTCTTAGGATATATCATCCTATCGTCTGTAAACTAGAGACTTTCAAGATAGCAAGATAGCTTTATATGATGTATCATCTACATACTAGATGCTTAGTTATAAACTAATGATTGTATTTGTGCAAAGTTGGATGGTATAGTTTAAAGAATCTAAATGTAACTAAAGGTAATTATTTTCTGTTTTCTGGGCTAAGAAACTACATGGTCCAGTATAGTCAAAATGTAACACTATAAAAGGAGGCTTTTTTTGGTTTGTTTGTTTGGTTGGTTGGTTTTTGAGACAGGGTTTCTCTGTTTAGCTCTGGCTGTCCTGGAACTCACTTTGTAGACAAGGCTGGCCTCTAATTCAAAAATTCACCTAGCTGTGTGTCACCACTGCCTGGTAGGATTTTCGTGATAATCTTTTTTTTTTTTTTTTTTTTTTTTTAAATATAGTTTTACTTCTTTGAACTTTGTAATAGTTGTAAATAGAACAACATTTTTCTGTTGTAGTGATTTGCTTATTTCATTCAACTCAATGAAGTTAGCTTTTCTAAGGCTTATCTTTGCATCCTCTTTCTATACCACGTATTTCTTGTTTCTTGTTTGATGACATTAAAGTACTTCTAGTTTGGAAATATTCTTTAATGCACTTCCAAGAACATATGTTCAAGAGTTCTGTAGGATTAACTTTTCTTATTGAGACATGTGAAGACTTTGCAAAGACCAAAGGAATAGATAATTTAAGAAAATAATAGCTTTTAAAAACAAAAGTCAGTGGAGAAATGGCTCAGCATTAAAAAGCACTGGCTGCTCTTCCAGAGGACCAGGGTTTGATTCCCAGCACCCACAAAGCAGTTCACAACCATCTGTATCTCCAATTCTCAGAGCTCTGATTCCTTCTGGATTCCACTAGCACAAGGCAGACATGGTTCACAGATATATATGCAGGTGAAGCACTCATACACTTAATAAAACTTTTACAAAACTGTCAGTGCTAGGTGGTAAAACTGCAAGTAGGATGGTTTGGCTGCTCAGCCTTGACTCATACTGAGGCCTGGCAAGCTCTAGGTGTTTTTGCTTTTACAGCAACACTGCACTTGTCAGCGCAGTGAAAAGGTAGGTGTAACTGACACCCAAGTTGTATAATGAAGACCATTTGGACCTAATGAAGAGCTGAAGAGGCTTCTAGGTCCCATGTGGATCTGAGAATCACTTTTTGAGAATCACTACAACAGGGCTACACTGGAAATGACCCACTTGTTCAAAAATTAGCATTCGGATAAGTAGGCAATGGCATATCCACAAAATTATGTGGCATAATTTTTAATTTTTATAACAGCTTATGTCAAACATGGCTTTACAATGAAGTATTTTTGTGTTTTGGAGCACCCGATGAAGAAATCAACTGTCTCAAAGAAAGTGAAAGTATTTGGTCTGAGCCTGTGCCTTTGCCTTGAGAAACTGGATGGTAGAAGGAAGCTGCTACTGCTTTGATGGTTGAAGGGGCTTTTGTACGGTGACTTTAATTTGAATAGAAAAGGAGTTAACGGTGGTGTCAGCCATATTAATGTGCTTTATAGCAATAGGTAAAATGTACCTTTCAATTAACTTATAGTAGATCAGTTGTTAGTGCATTTGAAATTTTCCTTGCTTTTAAAATTCGTTCTCCTTTTTATAAACAAGAGGTTTCTGATATTCTGGGGTTACTGGTGGTTGTAAGGAACTTAACATGAGTGCTGAGAACTGAACTCAGGTTTTCTGGAAGAGCAGCAAGTACTCTCAACCTGTGAGTCATCTCTCCACCACCACCATCCCTTTTGTTGTTGTTCTGACTTTCCTTTCTTTCTTTCTTTCTTTCTTTCTTTCTTTCTTTCTTTCTTTCTTTCTTTCTTTCTTTCTTTCTTCCTCCCTCCCTCCCTCCCTCCCTCCCTCCCTCCCTCCCTCCCTCCCTCCCTCTCTCTCTCTCTCTCTCTCTCTCTCTCTCTCTCTCTCTTTCTTTCGAGACAGGGTTTCCCTATTTCACCCAGGCTGGCCTTGAATTCTTCACCTCAGCTTTCCAGTCTTGGGATTACAGGCAAGCATCACCACACCTAGTTTATAGTTCGTTATTATGTTATTGACTGGAAGAACTTTGAGTTGCTGTTTAGAGTTTCAGGCTCAAGAGGCAGTGGTACAGCTCTATGGTAGATTGCTTGCCTAGCATGCAGGTGGCCTGTTTCAATCCTTAGCACCCCAAGAAAAACAAAGTTTCAGTTTGAATTAAAGAAATATTTTAAGAAAGAAGGTTTGAAAGAGAGCGTCCATTTAGACACTTAGTCTTTCTGTTAAAGCCTCTGTAGGAAATGTACTGTATCTATATTCCACATAAAGTCAGAACACTTTGTGAGAGGCATCTTTGAAGGTAGGTTACTTTGTACATCTGAAATACCTGTTATAACGAAAGCCCAGTAGTTATAAATTGGATTAGTGTAGTTTAACATACCTTTTTAAGCACTTACGTTCTAGGTTAACTTAAGTTTAAGTGCTGCTTAAAGATTCCATATACATTGTGTTTATTTAAGTTTTTAAAAAGTTTGTTAGAAAGTGTTGCAAGAGTGTGCAACACACACACAGATTTTATTATTTATTTGTAGTGCTTGGGAATGAAACCTAGGGCTGTGAACATTCGACAATGCCATTCTACCACTGAGCTTATCTTTAGCCCTTCTCATTCTCTCTCCCTATCTCCCTTGCATACTTCTCAGCCTTACATAGGCTAAGTGAATGGTGCAGTACTGAGTTAAACCTCCAGCCCAGGATTCAGGTTTAAATTGGAGGTATTCATTAGGATTAATTAATATTAAGGTTTTAGCCTTTCATTTGAAAATATTAGGTAAAAATGAAACTGTATATTTATGCCAGCCTATAAGATTTTGTACTTTAGGAGCATAGTGCCTTACTTCAACCTAAATAGTAAGTGTATGCTAAATTCTAGTAGAAAAAAAAGCCATAGGGTGCTCTCAGTGGGCT